CCACGACCCTCAGATTGCGAGTCGAGCGCCCTAACCACCTGGCCATGCCGGGGCCCTAACCACCTGGTCATGCCGGGCCCCATTTTCTATGTAGATTTAAATTGTCTTAGCTCATTTTGCATTTTACTTTATAAGTCTGAACTTTCTGCACCCAAGAGTGCGTGTTGGAATTAAAAGGGCAAGCAGTTTGTTTGTTTATTTAGTTATTATTATTGGTATTGTTTTAATGTAAGTACACACACGCAGACACAAAACATATATAAATACTGAGTTTTATCATATTTTAATAATGAAATGTCCTGTCTATTTCACGCATGAAAGAATATCTGAAAGAGCGAGAATTTAGATTATTTTGTGTTTATGTATTTCTAGGCCCGGCATGGCCGGGTGGTTAGGACATTCGACTCGCAATCTGTGGGTCGTGGGTTCGATTCCCCGTCTCACCAAACATGTTCGCCCTTTCAGCCGTGGGGGCGTTATAATGTGACGGTCAATCCCACTCTTCGCTGGTAAAAGAGTAGTCCCAGAGTTAGCGGTGGGTGGTGATGACTAGCTGCCTTCCCTCTAAATTAGGGACGGTTAGCGCAGATAGCCCTCGTGTAGCTTTGGGCGAAATTAAATAAAACAACAACAACAAAAATGTATTTCTATTCTTTGGTGTGCATATCGTAAATTTAACGTGCCAATACTCGCGCTTACGAATGCACGCGAGCGAGAAGTAGTTAGCTCTCATTCTATTATTTTGTAATTTTTTTTTGTTTGTTGTTAAGTGCAAAGCTACCCAATGGACTATCTGTACTGTGTCAGCCACGACTATCGAAACTTGGATTTTAGCGTTATAAACCCTCAGCTACTGGGAGGCTGTATTTTATGATTAAAGTGTGTAATTTTCGTTTAAAGATATCATTTCTTATTGTTTTAAGTAAATGTTTAATTTTTTCCCTTGATTTGATTTTAGTATTCGATATTATAGGGCCTTAGTTTCATGTATTTTTTTTGCGTGAGACTGCTTCTTACGCGAAGAGACAGTTCTAAATCTTTGATGAACTTGAAAACGTATAAAATCTTATTTTTGTTAAAGGGCTTTTATTCGGCTTTATTTCTTTTTTTTTATAGTATTTTAGTTTTCGTGCTTGGTTTGCTAGTCTCACAGTATACCTTTGCGTTTGACTTATTATTTTCTTCCTTAGTTTTATTTTTTGGGTATGAGAGTATGTACTTGTGCACTGCTGTTTCGGTGTTTAAGAGTATGTAGCATTTTTCTGTGTTAAAGAGTTATTGAATATGTGGTGCGGTAAAGGGTTTATGTTTGGATATTAAATCATTTTAAAGGACAGTTGGTATTGTGTTTTCTTGTGTCTTATATATGTATATATTGCTACGCCTCCGTTCGTTAGTTAATTTTCCGTAAAAATTCTTACCGAAGAAACTTTAGCGATACAAGTCCTTTCTCAAATAAAACTGGTTTATTCTTTCTGAATACAACTTTGCAATACACTTAATTTCCACAGTCGTGCTATAACAAACGCTATAATTCACAACGAGAACGTCTCACGTGCACGACTCAAATGTCAATTACACATTGTTGCCGGCAGTTCTTAGCGGCTTATATATATATACAAGACTACCTCATATCTAGTAGCCTCTCGAGACTTCAGGAAGGGACAGGATCCTTCTAGAAGTTCATG